ATAAATAGAGGCCTGTTATAATATTAGTTTGAGTTTTGATGATAATAGTATAAGTTTTAACAACAATTTTATAAACGGGTCCTTATATGTAATTATTTAATTTTGGTGGTCTTTTTCTACAATTTGTCCTCAATTTTATAAAATATCTATTTATTATTTACAAATGATTTTTTCAATAATTATAATTTTAAAAAATTGAATTTAATATGAATGAAAATCTTTTGTCAACATTTAAAATTTTAATATCAATATTTTTTAAATTTTATAAAATTAATGAAACAAAATAAAATTTTACATAATAAAAGACTAAAAATATATCTTTATTTTTTTAAAAAAAAGAATAAAGTAAAATCAATCATTCAGACAAAACTAATGCTAATAGCCCACTAAAAATTGGCTTTGCTTGCTTACGAGTTATAGGTTATGGCTTCATTTGTCTTTATATTTAAAACTATTTATAAGCATATTTCAAGTAAATTGAGGTATTCCGGTAAAAAATAAAATAAATTGAGGTAAAAATCTTTTATATATTTATTTTTTTATTTGATAAATTAAAAGACTAAAAAAATATAAAAGATTCCAAACAACCCTGCAACTCTAGGGGAGACGGAAAGAAAACATGCACCTAATCACACCTGGAGGCCGCTCATAGGGTCAAGTCTAGCTAGAAACTTAGAAGGCGTTTGATAAGATAGAAAAATACTTTTAAAAGATATTTTTTTTATAAAACAAGATAAATTTTTTTATATATTTATTTCATATACTGTAAAAATATTTTTAAAATTATGATTTGGTTTCTATCCAAATATTACTTCCGGTCCTAACTATAAGAACAAGTTGAGTAATTTGAAAAGATTAAGAAAGTAAGTTGAGTTAGTTATTTGTGTGTTGTCTTTCTTAAAATATCCTTATTAATCAAATATATTGACTATAACTATTATGATTAGAACGGTTATTTTGAAATATATATATATAAATATGAGAGATAAAATAAATTAAAATCTTATATTTAAAATTAAAATAAAAATTAAATAGGATCTTATATTAAATATGGGAAGTAGTATTTTTTTTAGAGTAACTGTCGTAAAATGAAAAGACTTTCAATTTCAAAACTTGGGATTCATTTCCCGCCGATAAAAACGCGCGGTCCCCACTGTCGCAAGCACGCATGTCACTTGGCCTCTCAGGCTCTCACTCTCCAGTTCCTCCGTAGGGAAATGGTCAGTAGGTTGGTTTCGGTGGATCGTTGGGCGGCGGGCAGTCAGGCGTATTTCCTGACTCACCTTCACTCCGACCACACCAACGGCCTCTCTTCTTCCTGGGCCAATGGCCCTCTCTTCTGTTCCCGCACCACCGCCAAACTCTTCCCTTTCAAATTTCCCGAATTCAACCTCTCCTTGATTCGCATCCTCCAAATTGGCACCTGGCACTCCCTTTCTCTTCTCTCGCCATGTGGCTCTGAGACACACCTCCAGGTCATGGCCATCGACGCTATCCACTGTCCTGGTAATTCTGCCTTTTATTGCCTGTTAACTGTTCGCTCAATTTCCTGAGAGAATTATTTCTCTAGAATTTACCACTAGACTCAAGTTATTCAATATTCATGGTGAAACGTTAGATGTACTGTTCTGAAATTGTGAAGAAACTTGTAATCCCCATTAAGATAATGTTTCTCTGACGACAGGTTCGGTGATGCTCGTGTTCCGTGGTGAGTTTGGCTGCTTGCTTTATACTGGCGACTTTCGTTGGGAAGCAACTTGCGAGAGGGCCATGAGGAGCAGGGACATGCTCCTCGGCGCTCTCAAGGATCAAGTGGTTGACATTATTCACCTGGATAATACATACTGCAACCCTTCGTATGATTTCCCCCCTCGACAAATCGCGGCTAACCAGGTACACTCCCACCCATAGCAGTTTAAGGGGACCAATTATGTTTCGATGAGCTCACTTTGACAGCTAGTAACCGTGCCATTTCTCCAGTCAAGAAGCCGGGGGTTGGTTTGAGCTGGAAGTCTATCGTTTTAAATGCAGCTAGTTAACCAGAATCTGTACTATTTTTCAGCATGCAGCTTTTGATTTTTTATTTATTTATTTTTTTGCAACACCATATGGTCCATGGACAATGGTGCGTCCTGTGCTATAATCTTGTATGATTAGTTTTGGGATATTTTTACCTTGAATCTAATGTGTAATAATATTAGGATTTCTGGAGTCGGAAAAGCAGTTTATAAACTTGGTGTCTGTCACAGATAATGACGAAGAAAATGGGAAAATTAAAGCATAGTGTCATCAACTGAGCTTCTTGCAGAATTGGTTTAAGTTAGTTTAGGATGCATGAGTGTCTTAAAAAGAATAATTTTCTGAATTATTGGAGTTCTGATTTCAGGTTGTTAACATCATTTTGTCCCATCCTGAGCACGACATCATTATTGGGATTGACACTTTGGGGAAAGAGGATCTTTGCATCATATTGCACGCGTGCTTAAAATAAAGGTCTCTTCCTATCCATTCTTGAGAGTAAGCCACAAAATTCAGTTCACCACACTGGGTCGACTTTAATAATATCGTAGCAAGGACAGAGGGAAAAATAGTTAGGTCATTAAATCAAGCTAGCAAGGCTCTTTCCAACGCATCACTGTGATCTGCTCATCTTAAACAATTTTTTATACCTTGGCCTGTCTCGATATTCTATTAGAATCAATGCGTATGTTTCTATATTGGTTTTCAACGTCATATATTATCTGCATATTCTGTAATTCTTATACAGAACTTCGTTTTTTCCTTTGGTTGGAATGATAAAATTTTGGAATTTGTACTCCTCTGGTTTAATTTTTCACTCGTTAGCTTCTATTTTCAACTGAAGATTTGGGTGTGGCCAGAGCGCTTGCGGACTATGCATCTTCTTGGATTTCATGATATTTTTACCACAAACACTTCTCTTACTAGAGTGAGAGCTGTCCCTCGGTACAGCTTTAGCATCGAAACATTAGAGGCACTCAATAAAGTTCATCCAACTATAGGAATCATGGCTTCAGGTCTTCCATGGCTGAAGACGGGCCTTCAAATGAGTGGAACTCATGCTGGTTCCTTCCGGATATCTCGTTCTGAAAGAGCACCATGGAGTGCAAATTGTGAGGTCCAAAGTGATCGGCAAGTTGGAAATACAGGACCATTAGAAAGGTTTCATGAGTACATTTATTCAGTCCCATACTCTGATCACTCAAATTTTGCAGAGTTAAAGGAATTTGTGAAGCTTGTCCGACCAAACACCCTGAAGGGCATTGTATCTTCGTCATCATGTTATATCGAGCCAATGTACTATCTAGGTAGACACTGTGGAATCACGCAGCCTGCAAGACAGTTGCATATGAAGCATACAAGCAAAGGAACCATTGAAAGAGTAGTCGCTGTCAGCACCAAAGCTTCAACTCTCGATGATGAATTTGTCAAGTCAGAGAGCAAAAGACGAAAGACATTGAAGGTTAAGTCTTCAGGATCTCGCTCGACCAAATTCAGTATATTGAGAAGAAGGGGGCGTGGAGCAAAAATATCGGAAAATGACGGTCCTCATAATAGCTGAGAACCGTCTTGGAAGATGGTTCCGAAAATAAAGGATTATGAGCATTCATGGAGTTCAGAAACTACCTCGGAAGTCCCCTTGCGAGTTATGATCTGCCTAGTTCCTCAACTCCAGAATTTTTAACGGCGCATCACTGCATTGTAATCCTCTTTGTATATAATGTTTGTTATGGAGATCAGGATGAAATATGATTTCTTATGTTTCTCAGATGTAATATTTGTTTGGAAGCCATGTTCGGCCTAACTTCAGCAAGGGAGAGAAGCTGTGTATTATTTTCCTGAAGAAATATCTTTGGAAAGAAAATGCTCGGCAAATGTTTTTTGGCAAGAATCAGTTGTTTGAGTTATGACGAAATCATTTTTCGCGATGGAATTGTAGTAAAGTTGAGGAAAAACAGCAATATCCTATGATTACTGGTAAGAACTTCATTTCGGTCTGGCTGAAAAGACTTTCAGGGATAACTATTAACTAGTTTCGTGTGGTGCAACGAGTTGAGGAAGAGCTAATCATTTGACTCATAATACAATTTGTTACAGTAGTTACATTGTGTCTAGATAATGCTCTGATATTCTCAGGTCATTTGTATCTTATTCTTGCATAACAAAAAAAAATATTAAATTGATAAAATTTTTCACTCTTGCCCCTATTAAAGAAAGTTTATTGATAAAAAAAATATGTTGTGTTTTCTCTTACCTATTTTTTATCGTATTCAATAGAAGTAAAATTGAAAAACACCATTAATTAGCCAACAAGTAATTTACAGGAGTATATAGTAATAGAGTAGTCTGGAATTTCCTGCAATTTGACAACTCGTATGAGAAGAGTGTGTAGATTTCTTGACTTTTGATGACTGAGAATTTTCCTTCCATGTTTGGTCCAGAACAAATCCCAATTCAAGATTTTAATTTCTTTTGTTCTTCATCCTCCCTTTCTGTTTCTAGATTCCTTTAAAAGTACGCATGACCATCAATTAAAACTCCTTGGATTTCCATTCCATTTGCGCTTGACTACCTGCCGTAAAATACGCTACGCAGAATGTAACAAAAATACGCACACTGGACAAGAGAACCAAAACAGTCTGCGTGGAATGTTGAATAAAAGCGTGGAAGCTCTAGAATATATGAAAATGTTGATATTTCAACTTGAGAATGTGATTAGTGATGTCCACCGAGCGACCTGACCATTTGTTCTATCGCTATGCGATGATAATACTTGTCCTCTGCATTGTTTTACACGGCGATGACTGGATCAACATTCTCAAGTGATCACCATCTATCTCTACTGAAAATTAACAAGATTGATAAAAGGTTTGGCTTGACTTTTGCTGGTGGTAGGGCCATATATGATATTGTAAGTAGCATCACCCGTCACCTTCCTCCTTCAGACTCAACCAGCTCAGTATTACTGCCCAACATCGCCTCTCCCACTTAACCAAACATCTATCCACTACTTTCTGAACTGAGGAGCCATGGACAGCATGAAGAGACCATGGTTCTGGATTTCAGTTCTCATCCTCTGCTTCTGTTTTATCATTCATTCTTCTTTTGGAGCTTTTACTTCCATCTCTGCAAATCAATCTCTTTCTGGCGATCAAACTCTGATATCCGAGGAAGGCGTCTTTGAGTTGGGATTCTTCAAGCCAGGTAATTCCTCTAATTACTACATAGGCATATGGTACAAAAAGGTCTCTCAAGAGACCTATGTTTGGGTAGCTAACAGAAACAAACCCGTCCCTCACAAACATTCCGCCAAGTTAGAAATATCGGATGGTAATTTAGTTCTCTTGGACGGGTCTCAAAAGATTGTTTGGTCAACAAACTTGACTTTTCCATCCTCAAGTCCTGTAGAAGCGGTCCTTCTTGATAGTGGGAATCTAGTTTTGAGAGATAGGTCAAATGCAACAAAAGATTTCCTTTGGCAGAGCTTTGATCATCCAACTGATACCTGGCTTCCAGGAGGTAAAATAAAATTAAATAACAGAACAAAGCAGCCTCAATATCTCACTTCATGGAAGAATAGCGAGGACCCTGCAGAAGGCCTTTTCTCTCTAGAGCTAGACCCCAAAGGAAGCACGGCCTATCTCATTCTTTGGAACAAGTCTGAACAGTATTGGACCAGTGGTTCTTGGAATGGACAAATTTTCAGTTTGGTACCAGAAATGAGGTTAAATTACATCTACAATTTCACATTCGAGACAAACGAGAACGAGAGCTATTTCACCTACACTGTGTATAATAATAGTATTATATCACGATTTGTGATGGATGTCTCGGGGCAAATCAAGCAATTTACATGGTTAGAAGCTAGCCAACAATGGAACTTGTTTTGGTCACAGCCAAGACAGCAATGTGAGGTTTATGCATTCTGTGGTGCATTTGGAATCTGTAACGAGAATTCCATGCCATCTTGTACTTGTTTACTTGGCTTTGAGCCGAAGTTCCAGAGCAATTGGACTCTGAAGGATTACTCAGGAGGCTGTGAGAGGAAAACAAAAATCCATTGTGAGGACTCCAATTCTTCGAATGGAAAAAAGGACAAGTTCCAAGAAACGCAGAACATGAAATTGCCTAAAAATTCTCTATCTGTTAGAGCAGGGAATGCAGAGGAATGCCAATCAACCTGCTTGAGCAATTGTTCATGTGCTGCTTATGGATACGATAGCAATGGGTGTTCAATTTGGCATGAAAATCTCTTAAATCTCCAACAACTCTCTCAAGATGACAGCAGTGGAGAAACTTTATATCTCAGGCTTGCAGCTTCCGAGTTTCCTGACTCTGAAAACAATAAGGGGACGACTATTGGTATTGTTGCAGGGTCGGTGGGAGGTATCGGGATTCTCCTAGCTATACTTGTGATGATAAGGCGAAGAAAGAGAATTGTTCAAACAAGAAAATCTGTAGAGGGTTCATTGATGGCATATGGGTATAGAGATTTGCAAAACGCGACGAGGAATTTCTCAGAGAAGCTAGGAGGAGGAGGTTTTGGTTCTGTGTTCAAAGGAACATTGCCAGATTCTAATGTTATAGCAGTGAAGAAGCTTGAAGGCATTGGCCAAGGTGAGAAGCAGTTTCGTACAGAAGTCAGTACAATCGGAACAGTCCAACATGTAAATTTGGTCCGACTTAGAGGGTTTTGTTCCGAAGGAGCGAGAAAACTGCTTGTCTATGATTACATGCCAAATAGTTCTTTGAATTCCCATCTGTTTCAAGAAAACAGATTTGAGATTTTGGACTGGGAAATGAGGTACCAAATTGCCCTTGGAACAGCGAGGGGATTAACTTACCTCCATGAAAAGTGTAGAGATTGTATTATACATTGTGACATCAAACCAGAAAACATTCTCCTTGATGCTGGTTTTTGTCCAAAAATTGCTGACTTCGGCCTTGCAAAGCTAGTTGGACGAGATTTTAGTAGGGTTCTTACAACCATGAGAGGAACAAGAGGCTATCTTGCTCCAGAGTGGATATCTGGGGTGGCTATCACAGCTAAAGCTGATGTTTACAGCTATGGGATGATGCTTTTTGAATTTGTGTCAGGCAGGAGAAACTCTGAGCCATCTGTAGATGGCCGAGTTAAGTTCTTCCCTACTTGGGCTACAAATGTTGTAATCCAAGGTGGAAATATGCCTAGCCTATTAGACCCAAAGTTGGAGGGAAATGCAGACATGGATGAGGTAGCACGAATACTAAAAGTTGCCGCTTGGTGTGTCCAAGATGATGAAACTCAGAGGCCATCCATGGGTCAGGTGGTTCAAATCCTTGAGGGGGTGTCGGGTATCAAGCTGCCTCCAGTTCCGAGATCCCTCAAATTATTTCTTGAAGAAGACCAGGCAAATATTGTGTTCTTCACTGATTCAAACTCGAGCTCCAACCAGAGTCACAGGTAAGGAGCAACTCTTCAACGGCCTCCTCTCATACTCAAAGCAAACTCTCATCTGCAGCTTCACAAGAGTAAGCTGCTGATACAATTTTTAATACCATCGTTCTGCTCTGTCGCGTGTCTTTAGTTAATAAATGATATGTATAATGAGGACCTCTTGCCCGTATGATCGTATGCGTAGTGGAATGTTATCCAAGGGTGGTTGATCATTTGGGTTATGGGAATAAAACTGTAATAATACTTTTTTAGAAATTCTAAATGCATATATTTTAGTTTATTTAAATTATGATCGTATATCTCACCCAAAAAAAAAAAAGTTATGCCCGAATATAGGGAAGAGTGTTATCTAAATATCAGTCGATGTTTTGCCCGAATATGAAATGAATTCATGCATGAGAATAGCTAGAGGCCACCATCTTAATGAAACAGTCCACATAATCCCACCAGATATTTGTCTATTTTGATCATCTAGAATGCAACAAAATGTTAAAAACCTTGTTGAATGATGGGCCACGGGTGTTGGCTTGTAAATGAGCTCACACATTCCGTACATGACTATATGAGAGCAGGGGAGAGAAGGAGCGGAGTTCTGAGGAGATACATGTAGCTAACGTAAAGAGAGAGAAAAAAAACACATATTTTGTTAGAGTTCAATAGTATATTTAATTTTGGGTTTTCATTTATTAATTTATGCTTAGTTAATTCTTGAAGACACCCACTGACTAAAACGACAGACGTGTAGGTGATGTCTATGTGGGCAATTAGAGTGAGACAACCAGCCAGCCACTACTTGTTTTGTATGTCAGCTAAAAACGAAAGCAACACGTTTTCTTTTGTTACTGAACTAGGAAATGGACAAACTAGACGAATTTCAAGAATCTCAAGGCACTTCTTTTCCATTAGTAGGACATTGTCAAAATCATTGATTTTTGCCAACATACCCATTCACTCCTCTGCTTTCTCTTCTCTATCGCCGGAATCTTTAGTTGTTCTCATGCTAATATTTTGCAAATTACATTATACTCTCCTACATATTTACTCACACCAATATCTGCTTATTATATTGCACTCTTGCCCAGAGAAACCTCATTTAAATATTTAGACAACAGCAAAGATATATGGACTCAAAACTTTAGTTCTCAATTATCTTTTAAGAAACTGCTGAGCTTGGAGTTACTATTAACATCTGAGATGCATAGAAGGAAGTTTAGGCAAATTTGGATTACGTACGCAAACCCAAGGACAGGGAGAAGGGGTGAGTGTGTGAAAAATAGACGCGGGAGCTTGCTGGGCTTTACTTGCAGAGGAATCTGTACTGTGAGGACTCGGAGTCGAAATAAGGACTGTATCTTTAAAATTAATTCATTTCATTTTCCCACACATTGAGTCAGAATTATTAATAATTGAGACAATTGAATAGCAGTGTTTTGGAATTTTTATTTTAATTTATGTTGTCCCGAAGATTGCTTTGGAAGTGTAAAAGAATTGGAGGACCCTTGCCGCAGAACCGATAGAAGTTGGAATTTTTTTGACAAACATCACATATCGTCAAGATCGAATTTCTTTTATTCTTTATGAACTCCTATTCATGGCTTCATGCACCGTGAAAGGGAACAAAAAGTGGGGAGGGAAGTAAATGTGAAGCAACGGATTGCTCCAATCTGCCCCCTAGACCAGAGAGCTATCTGTACGCGAAAAAGTCTGCCTCGCTTTTGGGATGTGCCTGGAAAGAGCTTGACTTCTGAAACCCACTAGGAGGAAGCGCGAAGCACGATAAAGAGGATTTTGGCGTCAAAAATTGAATGCCCCTTTGTGGTAGTTCCATAGGTGCAGGGCTTCCTTTATGACTGCTTTACTCTTCTCGACAATCTGGCCTTCTCTTTTGCGCGGCCATAATCTTCCTGCTTTCACCAGGGAGAAAAAGTAGAGGCACGTTGATGTCAAGAGGGCACCCCAGTACTTACCCACCATCACCGTGAATATTAAGCTGAAGACAACTATGAATGTCCCCGAGCACTCCCATTTCCTTTCCTTCTCTGATTTGCCTTCGCGCCTGCTTTCTTTGTCTACAGAGTGAGATGACTTGGATGAGTTCTCTGACTCCGAACCGGGGGTCCAACAAGACGACGGCGAATCATTTGAAGAGGAACACGACGACGTTGGTTCCGATTTCGTTTCCGGAATGTCGGAAGCTTTGGTCGCCTGGTTCAGTATGGGTCTCCCATCACCGGATGATCTGCGTTTTGATCCACGAAGACTTGGAGGGCGAGCTCCTGTACACTGAAACCAGAAGATATTGAAAGAAATGAATATATAGCATTAACTTGTGTTTAAAGAGAGAGGCAAAAATGGGGTGAAAGTGGATATGAAAGGGGGAATTACGAGTCGGGTTTGAAGGGCGAGAGCTTTGATGAGCAGAGAAAGAGCTGGCTTGGGAGGATGATGCTGTGCAGAGGGGTGATGCTGGGGAGGAAGAGGAAGAGAGGCGGTGCGAAAACTGGAAGCGCGGTGGAGGGAAGAAGATGGAGGATCAACGGGAGGGCGAAAGCAGGAAGAGAACTTGCTGCTGTTGCTCCTTGAAACCTTCTTCATCATGTCAAGTAGGTTGACGATGATGATCCTCAACACCCTGTTTGTATCAAACTGTATCAAGCTCTGCCAGCCTTCGTCACCACATATATAATAAACACACGCACTATTCAGTATTCACCACGGAAAAAGTCCAAAGCTTAAAAAAGAGGCACAATTTTAAGGGGGAAACTAAAGCTTGTGGCCCTTCAATGTCCAAGAAATTAATGCTGCTCTGCTAAATTTTCACCCGACAATGTCTTCATGCACTTTGACCGCACTCTAAACACTAGTTTGAAGAGCTTCCAATGGTTGAGATTCGGTTTTTTTACACACACACACACTATAAACAGTAATTTATTTTACTAAGATGCTACAGCATAAAAAATATTTATCGAGATATTACGTTTTAATATCATTCAAACCAGAGTTTAAATTTATAAAGAACTACCTTAAAAAAAATAAAGTTGTTTACACCTTGAACAGCTTTGATTTTGTCTTTTAGTGGCGTTGTTTTTTCTTTTTTTAACTTCTTCATCCTTCCATTATTTTTCCTCCTTTTTAAGTTTTTTTCATTCTTTCATAAAAGAACTAGTGGTGTGTCCTACCTTCATGAATGGATTTTATTTCAATTTAAAATTTGATTTTTTTAACCTAATTAAGGTGCATTTTTTATTAACTTTTTAATAATTTTTATATGTATTTTCTTAAATGATGAGTACAATTTTATGTTTAGTCATTTTATATGTCGCCTTATAGACCTTATGTACGTCGAATTTTATATTTCTCCAGATACTATAGTCAAACTCAATTCCCACTATGTAGCATTTGAAGAATTTTTTTTGTTATAGACAAATTTAAAATTCGTTGTATACAAGGCCTACAAGACAACATAAAAAAATGATTAAATATAAAAGTTTAAACAAACTTAACATATAAAATGACTAAGAAAATATATGTAAAAAATTATTTTAAAAAAAGTTAATCGAGAAAATGTATTTTAATTAGGTAAAAAAAATCAAATTTTAAGTTGAAATAACACGGATACAAGAAGACAGCACATACCACAAGCTCTCTTTAAAAAAAAAAAAAACTTAAAGAGGAGGAAGAATAATGGAAGAATGAAGGAGCTGGGAAAAAAAAAAGGACACTAACACTAAAAGACAAAACCAAAATTGTTCAATGTATGAATAACTTAACTTTTTTAAGGTGGGACCCATTGAGTAAGAATAACCGAAAATGGAACCTGTTGGTTAAATTAGGCAAATCTGGGAAATGATTTCCCCCCCAAATCATAATTAGATTCATGTCATGCTGTTCTTCATACGTCGTCATTCAAACCGAGGAATCTTGCAAATCTGTTTTTTGTTCCTTAAAAAAATGGTAATAAAAATTAAAAAAAAGGTTTTCTATTTGTATATTTTTATTCTGAAATTACCTCACAAGCTTCTAATGAAAAAAGTTTAAATCGAATTGAAGAAATGACGCCCATGGTTCTTGCACATTTGGCGTTTCTTTCAGCCTGAGCACATCTTCATTAACGAAACAAATATTTAATTTAAGAAAGGAAAAATGACTTGGTTTGAAGCTTATATTGTTCGTCCTCACTTTGAATCCGTAGGATTCATCATGGCCGTATCATTATTTTATGAGCACTTAAATATTTCTTGTCAATTCTTTGTTCGCCGTCTGGTATATCCTTTATTCAACAATATTCTCATTGTTTCGAACCATCGTCTTCGTGATTTCCTCCTTCCCGCTTTCTTCTGTTCATCTTGTTCCCCGCCACAAAATTCTCACGTTCAATCCCGCCGCATTGCTAACAGAACCAAGATGCTCTCATTTCAAAGTGAACTTCGATCTTTTCTTCAAACACAAGCCCCCAGAGAATAGCTTGGTAGCAAAATGTCAAAGACCATGTTAGAACGCGACTTACAATATTAATAAGTATTTGCGCAAAAGTATTTTTTTCAAGTGCTTTCAAAAGGTTCCTAAGTGGGCTCTGCCGTTTTTGTCATACCCCAGAGGCGTTTCCTCTTCCCATACTTTTTGGGCCACTCGGAAGGGAAACAATGGGCTTGTAAGCCCATTATTGATTTTTGTATTTCCTCATTTTTGTCCTCTAATTACCCGCCTCATTTTTCCATCTCCTCATTCTCTTTCTCTCACTCTCTATCTTCCCTCAACTAAAGGTGTTTGTAGAAAATAATATATATTTGTTATATTTAATATTTTAAAACAATTTTAATTAAATTTTTTATTTATCTAATTTAGTTATTTATATCAGACCAAATGGAGTACTGTATTGCAGTTGAATCCGTGAAGTGGATGAACCTCCGAGTGGGACCTTGCGTCATTATCTCCCATGGCTCTTGTCTTTCACATAAAGAGACGTCTTTGATTGCAGTTGATGAATATTTCTTTCTCGTTTAATTGGCATGTTGGGTTGTTAGATGTTTATGCTCAGTGTAGTTGCCCTTTTCTATCTGGGTTTTTTGTCTTGTGCTAATAAGCTTCGTGTTGGTTCTTAAGTCTTGTTCTTGACATTTTTGAACTCTGTACTCAGAAGTTGTCACCCCAAAAAAACAATAATAATTAGCGTAATTATTTCTTGTCTTCCTATAGTATATTTCCTCCCAAATGCTATGTGTAAATTTAGGATCCCAAAGCTTTAAATAAACCTCAGGTTATGGTTAGAAAATGATTTATTTCTGG